CTCAGCCTTCCATCCTTCCGAGGTGGGTAAAATGAGGACCCAGATTGTTGGGGGCAATATGCTGACTCTCTGTAAACCGCTTAGAGAGGGCTGAAAGCCCTATGAAGCAGTATATAAGTCTACTGCTATTGCTATTGCTAAGAGATGAGCAATCATGGACTGGGAGGGAGGGGGAGAGGTTTAGGGTAGCCACATCTAGAATCTGTCAGGATATATCTAGTAAGTTAGATAGAAGGTGATAGCTACAGTTTGGCAAGATTCTGTCCATTAGGTGTAAGTAAATAAAGGACTGAACCTGATTGGACATCACTGTCATTTCTGGCCTTGGTCTTGACAGCTCAGCCAGGTAAATCAGATACAAAACCAACTAGATGAGTGAACTCCACTTTATTGTAAGGATCTTGCAGGTCTAAAGGTACAAGTTTATTTTCTGATATTTCTTGCTTCCTTCCCATCATCACAGTCATCTTCAACCTTATGGACTATGACTATATCTAATGAGTTTCTTGAAATATAGATACAACTTTTTGAGTCATAATTGGAGGCATTCTAGGAATAGATTTCATGACATCAGTGTGTGAAAGAACTGATAAAGTCAATGTGCAAAAAGAGTATTAATTCCCTAATTAACATATTTGAAAACTTTCATCTTCCTCTAGAAATATACATTGTTTACACTGAGTTTTGCAGTATTCTTCACAGTTGGGAGCTGTGTATATGTTAAACCTGATCGCATTTTCAGTTAAAAAACCCAAAACAATTGTTCATGCATTTAGTACTTCCCTATTATGCCATATCAAAAATTACAATAGTGATAATTTTTAGAAGTTATTCAGTCCCATCTAAAATCTTTTAAAAACTATATATATTTCTGGAGTTTTGACCTTTGCATTACCGAGTAGTTGTTTACTGATAAAACACGTGTGAGCATATATAATGTATTACATCCATTTCCTGATGTCTTATGATTATAATACTTACTAGATATAAATTCCTTGTGTTCTGAGGAGGTTGTTTTTTCATAAGTACTTAAAATATAAAACTGGCTGGTACTGCAGATAAAATCCTAAAATGAACTCTAGTATTTTCTCTATGGGTACAAATACCACAGCAACGTTTGGAAAAAAAAATCACCCGTGTGTGCAGAAATGGCATTTGAAATCATTAGGAAAGATATTGAATTGACAAGCATACTGTGGGCAATGAATGGCTTCTAGATATTGTTGCATTCTCCCTTTATTCTGTTCCTATTTATAAAGAAAATCAGGCGTAACTCCATAATTTTGCTTTTGTATTTCTTCAATATTTGCATTTAACTGTGATTGCAATGTCTTGGTGCCTCTTCATGTACCCCTTATGTTCATTAAAAGCAAATGTTTTGTTCATGTATGTAATTTATATACAAACATAAGTTTACTGTTACATTATGCAAATAATTATGGACAGATAATTGAGATAGACTAGAACTTTTTACAACCTAGAAATATTGTTAAATGCATATGGAATTCAAACAGGAAATTAACTACAAGTTATTTTTTAAATCAATGAATGATTGGGAATCTGAATACTATTATGGAGCAGATAGCTATCACAAATACAATTAAAAGCAGAATGTGATTTTTAAAAACTATTGATATTTGTCTAAAATTACATAAAAGAACCGCACACTAAAGTAATTCAATTAAATATTTTACTTAATTTTAAAAGGACAGATGTACAATTTTCATACCTTCATAAGTAATCACACTTTGTAGTTTTTGACAAAGAAAAATATGCTTATGGAAAGATTCCAAAGTGCCAAGATTTAAGAAGTGCATCCACAAGATTTCTGTTCATTTTTATTTCAACAAACAAAATTTTAGAGAACAATTTAATAAATATAATTGTGCAAACATATCACAGACCAAAATTGTCAACACATTACAGTACAAGATTTTTAGAGTTCTAGATAATAGACAATACTTTTTACATTTATTTAGATGTCTACTGCTTATCTAAAATCCATATTTCTAGAATTGGATTACTGATCTGAAAAGATTCAGTTTATGTTTTCCATGTTGTAACTGACAGCACCAAGGCCGACGTGTATGTTAAATGTTCTCTGTCTAATATTTTTATTACATCTTGTAAATTATGAAATTAAAAGTTTGCAATACAAAGTTACATAAATTTCATGGTAAGAAATTCAAAATTTAAGACTAAAAACAAATGAATTTTTATTTCTGGTCTATCCTATCCCTACTTTTCAAACCTCGATTTCATTTGACTTTGAGGAAATAAGGCTTGCAATATTGGGACTTTTTAATACAAGTATTGTTTTAAGAAATACTGACTATAAAGATACTGTGCAACACATATTAGAAAGATGAAAAAAAAAAGAATCAAGATTGTATCCATTTTATAGTTAATACTACTTTCCAGGATCCTTTAATTATTCAATATTACAACAGTCCTGCACAGAATTACAGTAATCCCCAACCATCAGTTTAGAAATCTGACAGCGAAGTGCAAATTATTTTTAACGAAGCGCCATGGATGTTACTGGGGTTCAACTGCTGCAGTGCACCATTTATCAAAAACTGGTTTTTCACTCCTTTGATTTATAGTACTGGATGCACTATGACTGGAAGTTCGGGATGTACCTCCTGTCAAAATTGTCAAAAGAGATCATATGGAGTTTTAAGTAAACAATATAAACTTAAGCAACTTTAAGTAAACAGCATAAATATTAAACCACGTAGATGATGAGTAAGATCAGAAATACTCTCCGGATTTGAACACCCGCAAGTGGGATGCTGCTTATGAAAAAGTAACCTTGTTCAGTGTTACTGCTGCTATTGGAGGTATAGTCACTCATTCTGGACTCAGGAAATCAGCATGCATGTAGTATAGAGCAGCAATCACCAACAGATGGTTCGTGGACCACTGGTGCTCCGTGAGAAAATTTTGATGGTCCATAGAAAAATTATTTGCATTTTTTATATTGCACTAAATACTATTTATCTTTTTAAAAAATTCATATTAGTGGTCCTCAGGATTTAAAATTATGAATTTAGTGGTCCCTGAGGTCAGAAAGTCTGGCGATCCCTGGTATAGAGCAGTGGTCTCCAAGCTTAGCAACTTTAAGACTTGTGGACTTCAACTCCCAGCTTTGCTGGCTGAGACATTCTGGGAGTTGAAGTCCACAAGTCTTATAGTTGCCAAGGTTGGAGACCTCTGGTACAGAGAGCTTGGCAAGATGTAGGAACAACTCACTTTGTTTGGGCAAGTGTTATTTGTACCATACAATTTTTAGATTCAATCCTTAAGGTAAGTTATGTTATTTGTGCTGATCAAAAAAATGACCTCAGTAAACATGTACATTTAAATAACCTATAAATATTAGAAAAAGTATAAAAGGAGATAAACATAATTTCCTTGCAGTATATATAGAAATTAAGACATAGCAGATGATCAGATTTGATTTCATTACTTAAGACAGTAGAAATAAAGACCAGTGAGGGTTTTTTCCCCCCATACTTCAATCAAACTGATATTAGCAGATGAAGATTCTGGAATGACTTACTAGATGGACTCTGATGATTCAAGGCAGACTTTCCTCGCCTCGGAGTTCCAGAAGTGCGAAAGTAGCCCATCTGCCGCTGGTAGTCAGTGAGCTGTTCTGAGCGCTTCATGCCAGTTGTTGGTTTCACTGCTTCAAGTCTTTTCAAAAAAGCCTTTAATAACATACACATAACTTAATACATTATGACCAGGGATACCAGAATCTCATAATCAAAACTAGCCCTCCAGAGTCTCTGTTGTTTTGGATTACAATGCCTTTACTTTCTCACTAGAATTATAATACTGTTGTTCAACATAACGAGTACGCTAACTTGAAAAAGCTGTTAGGAAGCACTCTGTTGATATGAGAATAGAGAAGCAGAATAGGGCAGAAGAGAACATTATCATTTGGTAGCTTTGCCTTTGTTCATCATATAGCATTTATATAAAAGGCAAAACTATAAAGGGAAGCCACAATGGCCTGGGACTAGAGCTTTTTATACCTAGTAGTCCAACAACGTCATCACACTGAATATGACAGTGTGAGTGAAGGCAAACAAGTCTCATTGGAGATGAATTTCCATAGGAAATCATAGATGAGATGGTCCATTGATCCCGTAGTCATCTGATGTCTTAGCACAGCAGTGGAAAAAGGCAAAGCTGTTCTAAGGGGGGGGTGAATTTCACTTTATAAAGCTCTTATATTCTATGCTAGTTTCAGACAACTAGTTTGCATTGCTATTTGGAATAAAGTTGTTTACAATACTTCCTTTTCTATTTTCTGGTACTCCATTTTGTGATTTGAAGAAATGGAAACAGAAAAATTGTTATCTATGGAGCAGGAATCTTGTGCATATCCTAGGTCAGTGGTTCCCAAACTTGGCAACTTTAAGACTTGTGGACTTCAACTCCCAGAATTCTCTCCTTGTGAACTTCAACTCCCAGCTCTGCTGGCTGGAGAATTCTGGGAGTTGAAGTCCACAAGTCTTAAAGTTGCCAAGTTTGGGAACCACTGTCCTAGGTTATTACGCCAGAATTTGATCGTTCAAACCAAGTCAGTCATCCAACCACTCTCTCAGGAAACCAAAATGCAGACTATTAACACATACTATAATCATTCCATTTCAAAAGCATTAAAAATAGAAAATGTGCAGAAAGAAGTCATCTGAGTGGTTTCTTGGGATGTTCTCTTATGAGTACGTGCACATATTTATGCATTTCTAGAATATTAAAAAGGGACTAAATAATGTGGCTTTTTACTGCAGCCTACAATTCTGAATATTTTAGAAATAGAATACAGTATCATAAATCAGGATGAAAAGAAGGCCAATTTCATCTGGGTAAATTCATTCCCCACTCTTCTCTATGTTACATTACAGATTCAATAAAAATCTTTTTCTTCATGCTAAACTATATCATTTGAGCAGTTCTAGGTAAAGAACTATTACACAGAAGATTAGTTTTCATTTGCCTCCAGATCTGTTGCTATGGTTACTACAGCAATTCAGTGGTAGTGGAATAAACAGCTACAGAAATTGACTGTTGGCTATTTTTTCAATTATTTCTACTTTATTTTAAGTTGTGGACTATTAAGTTGTGTGCTACTGACAAATGTGTGTTTGCTGATCAATGGCTAAAATAAAATGATAGAATGACTTAATATGTTCCTTTGCTACTAACTACATCAATCAGTTTTTTTTCTTGCTTGTTACTGAGATCAATGAATTCCTTTCTGGTTGATTTTTCTTGTGTCTAAGGTAGATGCTCAATTGTGAAAAGAAAGTGATTTTAGGTTCACAAACACACACACACACACAAATGCATAGCAAGATATTTCAACAACTTTTCTGCATAATTCAAAGATATGCAAATACTATTCCAATGAAGCTCAAACATTTATTCTTTATGCTATAGAGAAATTAAAAGAGGAAGAAAACTGGGTTGAAGCCACATGTTCCAAAAACCAGCACAGAGTTAAATTTAAATTTAAGTGAAATTAGTGCAGGTAATGAGTCAGGTTAGTGTAGTGGCTAAGGCATCTCGCTAGAAACCAGGAGACTGTTCGAGTTCTGGTCCCACCTTAGGAACAAAGCCAACTGGGGGACCATGGGCTAGTCACATTCTCTCAGTCCTATGAAGGACCCAATGGCAAACCACTTTTGAAAAGCTTTGCCAAGCCTCCAACATTTGGACACAATTGAGTGGGGGGGGGGAAAAGTGCAGATAAATGAACTGCGTTGTACTGGGCAAGAAACTTAATAGGGAAAAAAGCATATTTGAATTTTTCTGTCTACTGTATTAACTTTAAATAAAAAGTGAAACAAAATAGTAGTCATATATGACAAACCTACAATCAAGGACCATCAGTTGAGGAAACATTGGAAATCTCATTGTTGTGATAAAATTTGAGATAAGCAGGCATCTTCAGGTTTGGGTCTAGCAATCTCTAGCAATCCTGAAGTTCATTATGGCAGTGGAATTGCTAGTGCCCCCATATATTTTTATTCATATTTGGATACTTTCAGATAATGGATTTTTATCTCCCCTACCCAGGGCAAGCACTTATAAATAGGCAGCATTCAGCTGATGGATTTTCTTCCACTGCTAGTACAATTGAATTACAGGAGAGCTTTGTGATTTAATAAGATTACACCCACTTCTCAAAGGATGAAACAAATAATGTGGTCTACACGATGCGTTAAATCATAGTTTGCAACCCCATGGTTTATACAATGCAATATAATTTGCTAGGGGCTCATCTATCATGAGCCTCAAGCCATGTGGACAGACTTGCCTAACATACTAAGTCAAAGAAGCCTAGTTTTTAATTAATATTATTAAATCCAGAACTTCAACTAACCAGATTCTCTCTGTCGATCCTCTGCTGTTCCTTCTGCCTGTTGATGGCACTGTGGTACATTTTAGGTGCTGAGCCTGAAGGTTTCTTAATGGAGGCACTTTTGTTTCTGGGTTTTGCAGAATGCTTTGTCAATTCTTTTAAGAGCCTTTGGTTTTCCCGATCAATTTGTCGTACTTCGTCATTTGTGAATGAGTAGTTTTTCCTTGATGCTAGAGAAGACTGATTCAATGCCAGTTCTTGTTGATCCTTTTTCTCCAATTGCAGGAAAGCTTTGGACACAAGTACATATTTAAGAAAACAGGTTGCATGACTAGGCTTTTTCAGGATCACTTCAAAACTACAAAACCTATTTTCATATTTGGCCACACACACACTATCTTTCAAATGAGGATTCCTAAGGAGCTGGCCCCCAATTCTAAAGTTGGTAACATAACCTTATGTAACAAAAGCCTCTTTACATAGCCTTTCTCAGCTTTATAATCACCAAACATGCCGGACATTGACTTCCATAATTTACAGAGAGCATGGAAATTACAGGACTTAAACTACAAATATATTTCAAGGATCCAGAGCAAAAAACATTTCTGCAGTTGTGATAAAACGAAACCCTATACAAACAAGGCAGTGCCACTTCTTTCCAAATAATTACAGTACTCATGTGTTATGCACCACAATTCTTGCTTCCAGAAGAAACACACAAGAAATATAAACATTTCCTACAATTATCAGAGAATTAAAAGGCAGAGTCAAAATGAAGCATATTACAAAAATAATTAATTCATTTGACCATTTTTAAATTTGATTTGGAACTAAGCAATGTGAGCACCAGTCCCAATTAGAAATATAAAAGGCATTTCTAAATAGAGCTGGTTGTTTATCTTACTCAGTACTAAATCAAATTATTCATATGCAATGAGTCTGTCCATCGCTCTTTAGCAGATTCGGTCAACAAGAATCAAAGTAGGTGCTGACTTACATTCTCATAATTTTCAGTACAGAATGATGAGCAGGAGATGGACTTTCCCAAAATTCTGATTACTGAAGTTTCATTTCTACCCTTTGCATGTCTAAATAAGTGTGTCAGGTGGGCAGTCACATTTAAATAGTTCCAGGTTCAAAAAGAAAAGAATCCGTTTGCAACAGTAAGTTGTGCACAATATTAAAATTGCAAATTTCTTTGTGACATTTCATGTTTTGCTTCTACGAATGTTGGAGATTTGAAATTTCTTGAACACGTCTTGCCCACTTCTAATCTATAATCTAAGTGAATTCCTCCCTCTCGGATCATTAATTGATTTGTTGTGATAGATCATATTTAAAAAGCCTTTGGCATTGATACTTAATCTCTTTTGAGTCACTATTGTACTATCAAACTTGTAAATCACTGATTCTGTAATGTAGTTTGCAGCAAACTGGTTACCGTCTGTGTGACAGATGACTTGGATAGATGAGTCAGCTGCACAATATTTCAAAATAACTTCAATGTCAGAGAGCCTGAAATTGCTGAATGTATTTAATAGAATTATTAAATTGTTGAATTTATTTTCAAAGCAAAACTTCATGCAAAGTTGTGGTATGTACAAAAATGTTGCAGAAAGAGTTAAATTGTTACAACAAGAATTGTTCATAAATAGTCCTTCACCAATCTTAAAAGACCATCAAGACTTCTAATTCACCAAATTACATTGCTAAATATATTTAGGAAAGCAGAGTTTTTGGAAAAGGAATAGAGAGACAAGAGTAGCATATGTAGATGTTACTCAGGATTCAGGAAAAAGCATAAAAGATACACCAATCCACAATAGAAGCAGGGAATAAAGTGGAAGTCAAGAATGCATATGGAGAATAGCACCATGAGAGATACATTTTGTAAAATAAGCAAGCAGTCAAACCATTAGTCTACAATAGATATACATCCCTTTCAACTGAATGCCATCAAAAGCAAGGGGTTTGAAAAGTATATGGACCGGTAATAATGATATCAAAGACAAGTAAATATCTCCAAGGAATATACAATAACAAATATAAACTTTCCAAAATAAATAATAGTTCTCTCTACATTTTCATAGTATGGAGTATAGCGCTCCATACTATGCAAAACTCTACTGGCATCTGCGCAACTATTTTACGCAATTTTTCCAAATTTGACAATGCAGTAAATGTTGCAAGGCTCATAAAATGGACACTACAGTACTTTCAAATCAGTGATGGCTGTTAAGAGGTGACACAATAAAAATGGCTATTTCTATATGTATTTATGCTAATAATAAGCCCTTAAATTATGTGTATATGTATGTATGTATGTGTGTGTATATATGTGTGTGTGTATATATGTGTGTGTGTGTGTGTGTGTGTACATACACACACATACACATAAGTAGTCTGTTCCTCAATGTATATCTGAATATTTGGATTAAATCTATAACATTTAATATAGAGATATTGATGTAATACTTGCTTGTCATCTGATAAAGATTCAGGGGATATTTTAACAACCAGCTACAAGGTTCTCTGTGATCAATAAATCCTGATTACTTCACAGGAAAGCTGTTAGAAAATCAAAATATCTGATTCATAATGTTCCAGACTAGAGGAAAAAGAAGTTCTAAATGGGAAATAGCCCCATTTCACTACCATTTCCAGGGCATGCATATATTCTGAAACAACTCTTCATAAGAATTTGTACCATCTTAGTTGAAACTACAACTATAAACCTCAAGAATAGACAGGAACAAAAAGGATACTACTTACAGAAGTTGAAAACAATTATCCTATAATGTCCCATTGAACTTGGGGACAAAGGACTCTCAGAATAACACCTTTCAACCAGAATTGACTTGGCTAATACACAGGAAAAAATGTTGATATTCTGTACTTATGCAAAATTAGGGATCAATACTAGGCAGAGATACTTCTCAGTTATTATTCTACCATTGCAGAATATCCTTCCCTGAGAAATTCAAAAGTCCTGGACCTTCTGGCTTTTTGGAAACTTGTCAAAAGGGAGCTCTTCTGGAGGGCTTTTAATTAATTAACATAGTCGCACTGCAATTGTTAATTGCAAGTGGGAAATTGTTTTGATTTCCTTAATAGTTTTAACCCTTTTAGTTTACAGGTAATCCTTGATTTATGACTATAATGGAGCCTGCCCATCATGATTATAAGTTGTAATGGTTGTAAAATGAATGAATGACTTTATTTTAGATTTTTGTTCCAGTCATTAAGTGACAGTCAAGGTTGTTAAAGTGAACCAGCGGCTTGCTGTGGATAGGTGTTGTCAAAACTAGAAATAAATACCAGTTTGACAAAATCTTTGCAAAATCTGGTCACTAAACTATGCTATGGGATACTACAAATTGTCATAAATGCGAGCAGGTTATTGACGGCATGAAATGTGATCATGTGATCCCACGGGGGGGGGGGTCACAACTTTGAAGCCAAGCCACAAGTATCACCTGGGAAATCCATATAACTTCAAATGTTCATTAAATAACTAGTTGCAAGCCAAGGACTACCTGTATATTGTATTGTGGATTTCTTATTTTTATAAATTGCTGAGAATATAAGATTGCACAGTTTAAACATTTATTCAGTATATAAATGAGTTTTCTTTTGCCTAAGCTTTAATAAAGAATTAAAACACGGGAAAACATAAAACATGCTATACACTTATGCTTTAACTAATAGCAAGTCAAACACTGCTGAACTGCTATTTTCATCAAAACTATATAGTAGGGCTACAATAGCACAGTACTATTCAAGGAGGAGAGATTGGGACGATACTTGAAATTTGTGGGCATCACTGTTAAAAATATAATTGTTTGGCAGAGTGAATACTGGAGATTCTTACAGCATGGTTACAAGTATCCCATTCCATGTCTTTGAAAAACTATTTAGTCTCTGCAAATTGCTAGTTGGATTTCTACTGTATATCAAATTGCACAGGAAGAAAGAATGGAAGTAATAATATAGTTCAGAAGTACCTTTTTATAAAACAGTGCTACCAAAGCATGCTAACAATAGCACAGATAGCAGTATTATAAATATGGACTTGAATCTGTTCGTCTTTCTTCCTCCAACATGGCTTTAAAAAAAGAACAGGATTGTACAGACTGGAGGTACTAGAAGATGCCTCTGCAATCCTACTGTTTAGTCCATACATTAACATAACATAATGAACAGATTCTCAACTTTAAATTCACAAATTGACAGAACCTGGAAATATAATTTAGGGACAGAACATAGTTTAAACTGCTTGTGCTGTCTCCTTCTCTCCTATGTGTCTCAATTCTATATTAAGTAGAAGTTAGCATAATTAAATTTAAAGTACATGCTACGAACAGTGATGGCAAACCTTTTAGATACCAAGTGCCTAATCTGTGTGTGCACATGCCCAAACTGAAAGGCGTGTGCCAGACATGTGGACCTGCACAGCAGAAACCCAAAGACCAGCTGGCTAGTGGGAGGCAAGAGGTAAGATCTTCTTCTTTCGTGAGCTTCTGCGTCATCCTTTGCAGGGAAACAAAAGCTCATGATAGAAACCCCATAGAGATATGACCTGGGGCGACGGCTCACGAGCTAGCAGAAAGGGCTGTGTGTGCCACCTCTGGTTCGCCATCCTGGTGCTATAGAGTTATTATAGACAAATAGTAAATAAAGCCGTTTTGACCAAGGGGTGATGATTTTATTAGCTATAATTTATGATAACAATCTGGATTATGAGTTTTTTTTTGCTAGCTGAAATCATTTATCTGTTTGGTGTTTTTCTTTAAATGGATAACTGATAAATCATGAATTTGTTTCAGCAATTATCTTTAATTAGTGTTTGCGTATGTACAGAATTTAAAATTTGATTTTAATCATTTTGCTCATCAATTGCTATGGCAGGCTCTAATAAGCATCATGAGAAGAGCTAAATAAATAAATGTTCTAGAGAAGAGAGGGATTCTATATGGGAAATAGTCCTGTTGGTGAAATTCAGCACTTTCACTATCATCTCCATAAATCTGTGTATGGGAACTTCAGTTTTAGACAACTGCCAAGCAGTCTTTAGAATTGCTGAAAGTGTCAATGCTATCTGAAAGACCTTTAAAGCTGAAGAGTTAGGTGGGATCCAATTTGTTCATCACCCCATCTCTCTAATGTAGAATTTGTGACCATGCTGAGGAATATTTGAGACGCAGCTCAATTTATAAATTGTATAGAATATTCATTGCCCAGGCTGTAGGTTTAGGCAGAGGTTGTCCTCCAAGCTTGCTATGTGGCTCCC